AACTGACTTCACCAGTTGTTTTTTGCCCTGGACTTTGTCACTATATACATTTATGATGTTTGCAGCACAAGAGCATACTCTAGTCTTGATCTTCCTCCTCCTATGAGGGTTATTGCTGCAGCTATCCATCCTCTTCAGAGCGTGAACCATGGGGAGGTTTCTGGAGCCTTGGCTCACTTGCCTCTGAAGGATGAAGCAATGGGCTGAGGGTTTGCTGTCTGCCTGCACACCCTGATGCTCGGTTCTTTTAAACCATCTTCTGCAAATGGATATTGAATGAGAAATGTGCCCAGTGGAGCTGGAGAACACCCAGTTTTAGAGCTATCTTCAGCCTAAAGATGTCTTCACCCCACTGGGACAAGCCAGCGAGCTGTGGCTGCTGAGTGCTGAATCTAATTTAACTCATGTTTTCCTATGAAAAAACCCAACTTGGTGTTTATTCAGGAGGGGATTTAAAACCCCACTTTGCTGAATGCTTCGTACAGGGAGGGGATGATTCAGTTCCTTTGACCTATCACTTGTTCCTGCCCGAGATGGGAGACGAGATGCAGCAGCATCCACCACGCCGAAGCCAGTGAACTGATTGCAGTTTCAATTGCACCCCCAGTGAGAACAGCTCACTTGTGTTAAACCTCACCTCTGTGAAGGAAGAGGCTTCTGGGAGGACTCGTGTCCTGGGGTTGCTCGTGACTAGTGTCTAACCACAGGTATCCCCTTTTCCTGTACAAATAGATCTTGGTTCACACTTGCCCTGTTGTGAATTTGCATCCCGGCTCCTGCGTATCCCGTGTTATTAACGCCAAGTACCTTCCCCACAGAAAATGTTATTTTTGGCAGTGTCCTGAGGATGACAGGAGAGGAGGCTGGGACGAACTGAGGGAAGACAGGGAGGAGGAAGGGATATAATCCCTATTCCAGCACTTTTAAAGATAGGGTTCTGTCGGTTGAACTGCAAACCAGGCACTGGCTGATGGACCCGACTGGTAGGAACAGCTCCAGGGTCCAAGTCCTGCTGTGAATGGGGTCCTTCTGTGGGTAGGCAGACTGTAAAGAAGCCTAAACCACTGCTCTTGGATGCTGAAAGTGAGCTGTAGTTAATTCCATTTTCATCCTAATAAAGGATTTTTCTGGGAAGGAAAGGAAAGGGGTAAAAAAGGAAAGGGAGAGAGAAA